AAGCAGTCCAAGGCCGAGTGCAGGTCGTCCTAGAATGGCTTTAATCCGTAGCTAAATCGTACCGCCTTGCTTGTAAAGACAAGATATATCTCTGCTTTAACCAGCTGGTCTGGTAATACGAAGTATCTCGTATGGGTATGAAAGTTGTGTTATGAAGGTGCGGAGAAAAGGGGTAGGATGGGGAAAAGGCATAGTTATTGCAAATCATCAGGGGCGATGACGGCCATTTCCATTGTAACGACATTGTTTTCGAAAGTTGACCTTGATCGCTATGGATCCCAAGGGATCTATGCTTGTTCAAAGGGTTAGATGTTAGTTTCTCATGTTAATAGTGAACTTACAGTGTTCAAGTCTGGTGACGAACTCGTTAGTGAAGCATGGTGATTTGAATCAACTCAAAGATATCGAGTGCCGATTAGAAGTCGTTGTCCAGAGTCGCTGGTTCAGTCCAACAACTGCGCCTGTATCCAGTCACAGGCTCGGTAGGTATGTTTTGTTTTGTTTTGCAATTCTGCAGGAAGTTAGGTGTTGGGCGGGAGTGGGAGATACATGGAACGCCGCCCTGCCTCACTTGCATCTACCTGTATATACTGACAATTTTATCTCAGGCACCCTGTATTGCACTCAATATCGCATCCACTCTTGGCTCCTCCTCGAGTCGTTGTATAGGCAGTATTGCAGTGTTAAGATGGGCAACAGGAAGACAATAAGCGGCCTCCTCCCGGCAATACCCCGAACTGGAGAAATTACCCTACCTAGCCTGGTGAAGTTCAAGCCCAAAGGCGAACCGATGTTCAAACGGGACTCATACCAGATCCACGGTGCAAACTGGGGCTGCCCCGACGACACTCCGGGCGAGAGTGCCGACGATTCTGACCCTCGCAAATCCACCGCTGGTATACTGAAGAGCATAATGCCTGTTTAGGATGCAGCGACAAGCTCGCCGTCGCCTTATTCCTCGCCGTCCATAAACTATAAGCCTTCACCGCAGACGTTAGAGGTGGGCATCAAGTTGGCCTTTGCCATCCAGCATATGTTCTTCATATGCTAGTTGGTCAGAGGCCAATATGTCGCTGGCTTCTATACTCTTCGTATATGGTTGGGCTCATCATAACATCACGTTGGTGAACTAGGGCTTAATGGGTTTAAAAGCGGAAATGCGCGTCTGGTATTGTCTTATGGACTCTTATTACTTGGGCTTGATCCATCTATGCCGTAGCCATTAATTTATGCTGGCCAAGATTGCCTCTTCTTCACTTAATACGTAAAGTTCACATAAACCTTCATTCAATATTCTTGTTGGAGCTCAACAACATGAGGATACATACTCAGCTTAGCGACAACTCCCCTGTTTCTGAGATATGTCTAGATATAAGGGGTCCTGTAGCAATGGAAACAGTATAAACCAAATACCTAGGCTTTCGTGGCGCCTGCAATATGCGTAGACGTTGCATAGCCGTTGGGTGTCAGTGCCAGCCCAAACCTCCACCTCGACAGCAACGAGCACAGCTTTGCCATCGGTCAGAGACACCAGACTTCCAGACTTCCGATTTAATCCGTCGAAGACAAGCCTATTCTCGTTTCCAAGTGAAGTTGCAAACTTGGTTGATCATGACTTAACTTGACAAACAGGGATAGACAGTAGCAAACATCGTTCACATGTGGCAAAACAACTGACTCAAGACAACGTTCCTCTTCCGTTTTGGTACATGAAGGTTATCTTTTGGTCCAAAAGATGAGCCGCTAACGGACAAACAATGACTTTGTGGAGTTTGAGTTTATGTGCCTGCAGCACCTGATGATAGACTTTTACGGGGACAGTCCGCTTCCCAAATCGTCTCCCCGCCGTTGCCGGGAAAAGCAGCTGTCATGGTTCCACAAGCAGTCTTTGTTCTTGTGTGGCCTCGGATTTCCCAACTGCTTGGCGAGTCTAGATCCAGTTGTGCGTGAGGTGGTGATACCCACATATGCCTCACCGCTGATGTGTTGAGGTGATTTCACGATACAGTTAGGTCACGGTTAGAGCAAGCCTTTAGGCATAAAGATAATTGTTATACATTATTAAGGCTATTAATGCCAATCCTAGTACTGCTGGCTGTTCAAAACAATCATTATCCTTTCGTCATCATTAATTCCATCTCATTGTTCACCAAGGTATTCCAGATTAAGGGCTGTACTTCTTCCACTGGATCTTGGAAACATCCTTGTAGCACTTGGACTCAAGGGCGTACTTGTGGCTGGAGTACGATCCCTTAGGAAGAGTTTCCAACTCGGCACACTGGGGCACGAGGCGGATGGGGGCACAACCCTTGGGGATGTTGCGCTGGATCTTGTTGTTCTTGTCGATGGTGAGGTGTGCCTGCTCAATGACGATGAAGTGCTTGCCCTGGTAGTATTCCAAGCTCTTGTTACACGCCACAAAAGTCTCGGGCAGCAGATATGTGTAGGGGTCCTCGGGCTGGTTCAACTGAACACCGGGTGTGCCGGGCTCAAAGTTGAGAGTAGCACCGAAAATGTTCTTGTTCTTCTTGTCGGCCACGAGAGCGATGCCATTGGGAGTCAAGGGAGTGCCACCGTCGCTGATGACAGTAGCCTCGCCGTTTTGGCGCTCCTCCTTGGTACCGTTTTGGTAGAAGATACGACCTTCCTTCTCGATAACTCCGACGAGGGCGAGGCCGGCTCCGGTGTGGATGCTGGTGAGCTCGGTGTTGTGGATGGGGGGATCAAAGTCCTTGGAGTGGTCTGTGACGTTGACGACGAGCTTGAAGCCCTTTGATGTCGAGCGTGAAGGGTATTTGGGGTTCACGTTGATATGAGGCTGGACTGGTGAGGCCGCTGCAAGGCCGAGGAGGCTGAGGAAGAAGGTTGAGGTGAGCATGATTGTTGGGTAGAGTTTTGATGCAGAGAGAGGTAAAATCTGAGAAGGGAGGACGGGAAGAGGATGACAAGAATCAAGTCAATGTCTTGTCTATTGTGTTTGTAGTCTTTGAAGGAGAATTGATGATACGAACAAACCAAGAAAGAGAAAAGGGCGATGGTCGAGTGTTTTAAATGTTTGCCTCAAAATCGTCCGTCCTGGTTCTCAGCTCAGCCGATGTAACGATGAGGTCCATCACAGCTGGGCTGGCCGATCAGAACCTGGAAGTGGCTGGCAGGCTGGCTAGCATCGTGAGGTGACTAGCGGACCCTCAGTGGGTATTGAGCCCATTTGTGGTCAGAGTGGAACCCGCTCCAGTGGATTGCAGGGAGTTTAGCGAATGGCTAGAGGGATCGCCGGTGCGGGGAGTCCCAGCTGTAGCCAAGTCGGGGCCTTTAATACGAGGGTCCTGCCGCGACTACTTCATTGGATGGGTGTTTCTCTCCGGACACCTCAGACAGATAGACTGGTGCCATTCACGATGTTGAGCGGGCAGTATCAGAGATGAGATACCTTATACAAATACTATTATAGGTAGTACACCGACTATACAATCTCAAACACACCCAAGTCAGCAAATGAATATCGTCATGAAAAGGTCCAGTTCTTCTGACGTCAAGAGATTGCGATGCTCAATCCCTTGTTTCGAAACATGAGAGGATCCCAGTCCAATCATTGAAGATCCGATATCCATAATTAGCTTCTTTTTTTATCTCTTCAAATGCCATTCTTCCGTCACATGCTACGATATCCATTGGGGTTTTTTTTTCTCGCTGATAAAACCCAAATCTGTGGATCTAAGACTAAGGATTAGTTAGCCAATGTACATGCACAGGCGAGACCGATGCCAAGGAATAGGATACGATGGTCTTTGTTTGACAGGACGGAGGCTGGCCTCAGCCTCATGTTACGCGAAATGGCGGTCCTCATGGTCATTCCGTTTTGTCAAACGTTGAGCTCCATCGCGTGGCATTGCAGTTCGCAGGGGTTGACTCACTAGTCCATTGTCTGTCAACGTTTATGACGTTTCTGTTGATCTGTTGAGATCTTTACGAGATGGCGGTTTCATATCCCTTGAGATGATATCACCAGGGTCTTTCTGTATGTGTCAATGCGATGATCTTTCGTGTCCTGCATCGTGAATTATATCATAAATGTGGTTCAGATCCCAATTACGTGTGGCCTGTTCCTATGAGATCACCAACATTCCTCCAGAATACTATCCTGGAAGTCGGGATTTTCGGGCGGGCTTTTTTTCCCAAACGTAAACTCAATCTCGATGTCCTATCATGCAACTAATTGAAGCATAACGTTACTTGGTGGTGCCTTAGACGTGGAAACACCATCATGATCATATGCTAGTCAGTGCAAACCTCTCATGATTTGAAATGGCTTTGGTTAGTCATTGTCTATTCTTGATAACCGTATCCTCAATTCCTCTTAGCCTAGGAACCGGGCTCGCTCATGGCTTCAACGGCGTGGTTTGGCTGTGGAGAATGTCTTCAGTCTAGACCTGGACGAGTTGACGAGTTTCTCCATTTGTATTCCACTTGTTATGGTTTAGGTAGTGACTTTACCCCAAGCTGTGGCTTGATGACATCGTTGAGGTGCACTGTAATGTCTATGCGCTAGGTTGAGAGATAAAGCCTTGCTTCTCTTGGTGTAAATGCGGTGAGGTGACGAAAAGTCCTATTCCCTCGCCAGGTCTGATATCGTGGAAAACCAGAGTCCCAGTTGGAAGTGGTGGTCAGACTGACAGGTGTTGGCTGCAGCTTATTACACTTCGCCAGGCACAAGTTTACCTTGCTACTGTCACCTCCAATAAGCAACCGTCGGAGACTCCCAAGGCAGATAATTAGAGTACACCATTAAATCCATCGAGTTCATTGAGTTCATTCCAAGACATATCGTCTCGTCAGCCCGGGCCGTATAAACCAAAGTTCTGTATGCAACCACATTGATCAGCCAATAAGATAAGGTAGGCCTCCCTTAGCGCGGGCATTTTTACACTTCCGACCAACAAACATAGCCAATCAAATACCAATAACGTGACTTTTGGCCTACAATTGAGGGGTCGAGAGACAATCATTGGAACTTGCCGTGCCAAGAGGTTGCGAGAAAGCCTACTCAAGGTGTCATTTTAAGCCATGCCGAGAGTATATGAGACAGAGAAAACAACAACAGAGTATAAAATGAAACGCTTCGTCTGCGAGTTTCTTTGTGAACGCACCCTCTTTCCAATCCCATTCACAGCGTCTAGTTCATGAGCGATACTCAATCACTTCCCCAGATTCAGGACGAGCCTACGGAATTAAGTTTCGTAGGCTCGGACAATTTACTCAGCCGTAAGTTAAATGTGTCAAGCTCGAGTCATTATACTTGGGGAATACTCCACCAGTCGCTGTACTGACGTTGCACCGCCCTGTATCTAGCGTCTCCAAGAGACTTCGAGGCCTTGTCCACAGTGACATACTCGCAGGATGTGGATCAGAGCCTCATGGACTCATGGCCGCAGGAGATCATTTCTCTTGGCCCTTTGATGGACCAAGAGGATGTCCTCGACTTGGCTATGGACTCCGCACCTTCAGCTGTGGACGGCCTCTCTGACTTTGATTTCGCGGCGCCGATTATCGGGATGAATTCGCATCTCAGCGATATCGAAGCAGCTCAGTTCGACCTTTCGTCCTCTCCTGTATCTCTTCTCGATCTTCATGAATCCACATATGAGGTGATTCCAGGATATGTATCGCTCTCTGGCTCTCCAGAACCCACATCCACTCTATAGAGTGCGGGTTCTGTATACAGCCAGTCGAACGATACAGTCCTCGATGCAATCTCTCCTGTGGCTTTAGGAAGTGGCGGAACTCAGATACAATCTTTTGACCTCATCTCCCCAGACTTTGGTTCTCCTCCTGCTGAGACCTCGACAGATAACAGTTCAAGTTCAGAAACGGGCAGCAAGGAAAGGTTCGAAGAAGATACCATCATTCGTTTGAAAAGTGATGAGTTTGCAAGAAATGGAATATTTTTCTGCAACTGGCCCGAATGCGATAAATCCTTCAGCGAGAATCGCAAGCGGAAGTGAGTCTTGGGATCCCGTGATTCTCTATGCCCACGTTACTAACGAGAACTCAGCAACCATCTTCGAACTCATACCAGACCTGTTCACTGTTCCTGGCCTGGCTGTAGCTATACAGATGTTTGGCAGAAGGACATGAAGCGTCACTATCAGACGCACCGCTCCCGGAAGACCTTCCAATGTTTGTTATGCAATGAGTGGTTTACCAGGAAGTACAACTTGAGTAGGCATGAGCGGGAGGCACATCGTGGAAAGAAAAGGGAGAGGAAGCGTCGTAGCTAGTCGGTCCTTTCAATAGCATGCTGCCAGAGTAAACTTAACTTTTTATTAATTCATTGCTGGTTTCTTTCTAAATGTCCAATTTGTTAATGTTAGTAGTCGACTAAAATTCTAGATACACACTCCTATCACTTCAGGCATCCAATCCTACACCTCCATCCGAGTCGTTATCACTATCCTCACTTTCATCGCTGAACTCATCTTCATTTATGTGTGCCAATGAGGCAGAATCTGTTAGTGTTGGTGTCAATATACCGTGCGACAACTGGCGTAATCTGTGATAAACTCACCATCACTCCATCCATCACCGATTCCCAAGACTTCGTCATTTTCAACCTCGCCGAGGCTTGTAGTGCTCATAGTCTCGGTGATATTCGTTACAGAGTCCGGCTGCCATGGGGTAGGCCCTTGCTGAGTTTCGATCTGCTGTTCAACTGCTGTACTCAGCTCACTACTAAGCATTGCCAAGGCCTTACGCTGATCCAGCCAGTGCTCATTCTTCCATCCGCCTGGCAACTCAATAGGTCTCCAGTTCAGGTACGCTTTCTGATGAGACTCGGGCTCCTCGAACCTTCCAGGGTGGTGCTTAAAGTAGAATTTGCAGCATAGACATGCAAGCTTGCTGCATGCTATGTAGCGATCGCCACCGACGAAGCTGCGTTGGTTCCGATGGAATTCTTCTAGTACCTGAATTTCCGAGTGCACACGTACTTGGCCGTTATCCTCGTCGTACATGGATCTAATGGTCTCTTCCAATTGTAGTGGCCCATCTAAAAGAGCGAGATGGCTTTGCATATCCTTGAGGCGGGGATCCCCAGGCCGTAGTATTCTTTTCAATATCGAGTTCAGGTTTCTGAGCCCATCCGCTGGTGGAACAATTGCTGGGATAGGGGCCTGAACTTTCTTGATCTCATAGGAGGTGAACAATGGTCCTAACTTGATAAAATCGTCGATCAGGAGTGCTGGTATGCGGATTCTTTCGGCAAGACGACCTATCAAATGTCTGACTGCCTTGATGTTCATTGCAGTTTCTCGAGGTGCAACATCAAGCTCTCTACTCAGAGACTCAAGGCTCGACATCTGAAGATCATGTCGAGAATCGTAAGCAGTTTGACAAAGGGCTAGAGTGTCTGTATTAGTGTCAGAGAATCGAGGTAGCCACTCTAGGAGGGATCTTCTCTCTATGGATATCCCTGGTTAACTATGCCTCCTGCTGTTGTTATGGCTTAACTTACCAGCTCCTTGGACAGTTGTGGCATTTTCTTGCAGATACCTTTCGCAGTAACGAGTAGCCCGCCACAATAGCTTGCACTCTTTCTTCAGCCTTGGGGCTGCAAAGTCAATGCATTTCTTTGTCAACTTCTGTCTCAGCCTTTCTCGTTCTTCCTCGGTCCCTTTCGGGTCCCTTTGGAGCTGTTGAAGAATATCGTTCAGGAACGGAATGACTTTATTTTGTGGCGTAAAGTTCGCTGCAACCCAGAGAATAATCTCGTTTGTCTGGGATTCTAGAGCAATTGAAGTAGTAGTGTCTCCGCCCTTTCGATAATCGCAGATGAAACACAAGTTTTTGAGGAACCTGCGTCTGATACCTCGGACATCAGTTGGGGCATAGGCGGTGACCATATGAGGACCATCAATGCCTTTGAGAATATGAAACAGTGCGAGATTCTCAAAAAGACGTGAGAGAATCCTGCTGTATTTGTCCAGACGAGGCGGTCCAACACCCATTGTGTTCATAGTCAATACAGGAGTATAGATAGAGTAGTAGGAACCTTCTATGAAAGGGAGGTAGGCATCAACTTTATATAATGTTGCTTCGCTCTGTTATTTCATTTTGACTTTTGGGTGAGGGCGTATAGCCTTGTGTTTGTACCCTCCATTTCATGTTGGTTGGCTTCCCGTTGTAAGTCTAAGGCAGAATGGGCCGAGTGTGGTCTATATTGAGGCTGGGTTGCCCCCGGTTATCACAAACTATCCCCTGGCTTTACAAAGCACAGAGAAAGTGGAAAAACCATAAATTATATTCCAGGGCGCATATGGGAGAACGTGTGCAAATCCACCAAGAGCAACATGCACATCGATGAAGATCGGTGAAAGGGGAGTATCTCAGAGTCACTGGATGACCAAACTTGTTGGGTCTGTGCCAAGTAAATGAGCCAGCTCCAGGGCTAAATTGCCTTTTCTTTCTTCAACGTTTCCAATTGACACGGAAATATCTGAGCCCATTGATTCTATGATGGACCCATGTTTCAACCAAACCTACTGGACCAACTATTCAATCCAATGAATGTCTTGACTAAGGTATTAAAAAATGTACGATTTAAGTGTGGGTCAAGCCGTGCATAGCACTCAGACGCTGACACTTCTGGACCACAAGGTAGCGGGTATAACGGGAACGATGAAGAGCAATTATATCCGTTGCTATAGGTCGATACAAAAGATGTAAATGTTTCTCGTTTTCCATCTCAAGTGCTAAATTCCTCCAGATGAAACAATGCATGCTCCCGAGGTATTGGGACCTACCAAAAACATGGAACGAATGGACAGTGCTTCAGTTGACCAGGGACAGGGCTGATGGCGCTAGATGCGTAGCGAACTCCGCTAAAGTCGGCAAATCTCGATCTGGTTGGCTCGTCCAGCTTTGGCGTGATGCGAGAGCTTCGCCAAACAGGTCCACTTCGGGAAAATCGAGAAATTCCACTGCCATGGATTATTTATTACATAGTTATTAGACATGAGCTACAGCTCCCCCTCATACTCAGTCATACCCTAACTTTTCTTTCCCTGCATCATCCTCTTCTCCAGGCCCCTCGTCGCCCCAGGTAGCTCGCCCACCATGCTTTCGCTGGACAGGCTGCCAAACGAGGTCCTCTGTAATATCGCCGGCTTCTTGGTCAAGAAATATGATATAGCTAGCTTATCAAGAGCCAACCAGCACTGCTACGATATCGCCAGCCCGATTCTCTGGAAACGCGAAGCTCGATCGGATAGACCGGGTGCCATACATTGGGCTGTCGAACATGGAGACATCAATATCTTGCGCCGTGCTCTCGAGGCTGGCGTTGACCCTTCACGGGTAGCCTTTACCCACCGACCCAAACCACGCATTAGCACTAAGCATAAGTGGTACAACTATCATTCGAATTACTACGACGACCCTGTTTGGAGGGTTCAGGACGATGACCACTCAGTTGATTTGGACGCATCATATGTGTCACACGACACGTGCGATTGCTTCATAGGCGGTTGCGACGACGGCATATTCAGCGATTGCAGATGGGAGCCCATACATGTTGCTGCGAGTAAGGGGCGGATCGATATGATTGAAATTCTCCTCGAGGCGGGTGCTCCTATAGATGCCCCTTCGTGGGGCGTGTGCTTGTGTCGTCCACATCTGCCCATGGAAGCTTTCTCCGAGTCTCCAGCTGTAGATGAAGGAGAGCTCGAGGATTTACATGGAGGAAACTGGACACCTTTACATGTCGCCATATGCCATGAGGAACTCGAAACGGCAAAGTTTTTACTGAAGCGTGGAGCGTCGCCGGTCATCTATCAGGGAATAGACTTCGAGCTGGAACCGCTCGCATGGCGACAGGATGACACCCCCGTGGACTCGAGCAGATTCAAACTCACCGCACTACATCACGCTGCGAGAATGAACATGATGGATCTCATCGAGTTTCTCATTGACGAAAAGTATCAAGAAGACATCGACGTCGAAGGTCCATTTATGGGAACACCTCTATTTCAAGCAACATGGCATGGACACTGGGATACCGTAGTCCCATATCTCCTTGAACATGGTGCCGATATTGATAAGAGACTCATTGAGACGGGATTGACGCCCCTCATGATGGCATGTTTCTCACGTCGCTTCGATGACGCCGCAAGACTCGTTGATTTGGGTTCAAATGTCACGGCACTATCTGTACATCAATTCAGTATTCTTCACCTGATTCTCGGACCTCGTCACCTCCGGCCAGAAGACTTTTTTGACCCCCTCGGATCTCCTCCGAAGAAACCTAGCAAGGTCTCCGAGGCTGAAATCATTCAGAAATTCATTACTAAGGGTTTCGATGTCGATGCGCGGGAAACCCTACTTGGAATGACACCATTGATGGTGGCGAGCGCGAGCTGCAACACAGATGCAATGCAAGCATTGCTTGAAGGCGGTGCCAACGTTAACGCGGTAGACAATGAAGGCCTGTCTGCACTTGCGAGGGTCGGTGAGACCGCCGAAGGCTCTGCTATTCTGGGTTTGTACGATTCTGCCAAGCTGCTGCTTGATGCAGGGGCCACATTGGAAGATTCGAGAGACGAGATTACACCACTCAACATTATCTGCACACGGCAATGCGAACCCTACTTCAACCGTGAATGGGATAATCAGCACGCCATTCTAGCCAAGCTTCTTATCGAGCATGGTGCTGACCCAAACGAAAAGGGTGTTGCTGCCAGCCGTCCATTCACAGAGGCCATCATTCATGGAAACTTGAATATCGCTAGAGCGATCATTGAGAACGGTGGACGGCCAGAAAAGGGTGATCTGGAAAGACTTCTCTCAATATTCGTCCACGAACCGTATGATGATGGAAAGACGGATTTCATATTGCACATCGATCACGCCAAGTACGGCATTTCAGGTCCCTCCGAGGGCTTCCTGGTGGACCTTCTCAAAACAGCTCTGAACAAGCAGCTCTGGACCCGAGCCGCCGACTTGATGAGGT